TTTCCGTGTGTTGGCGAGCAGTGTGCTAACAACGACAACTACGACGTGTGCAGTTGGCGGTGGTGGAGCTCTCGTGCCGAGCGTTGGGGCACGACTGCTGCGAGTTCATGGTGTGCGTGCGGAGTCAGGTGGAGCGGTGCGCCAGGACCTACCTGGAGAGCCGAGGCCGCGGCGGGTCCGCGGCGCTCGCCGGCGTGCCGCTGGTGGACATCCTCGCGGCCAAGGACAAGGCCGACGCCGACGCCAGCGCCAAGAGGAAATCAGACAAGACGCGCAAGTAGCGAGCTGTGTACATGTATATCGAATCTCTCATCTTACCACCCACACCGACGATCGGTCGCGCTACTGGCCTGGCTGGTTGTGTGGTGGCGGCGTCGAACCGGAAGAGAACGTGCAGCCGGCGTGCTGGATGACCTCAGACGACGCAAAGTGTCCGCTTGCCACGCACTGCGCCAGGTGGTGGTGGTGGGCGAACACTTCTTTGGTCTTGGGGTGGTGTCTGTGGACGAACGCGGCGAGGAAGCCGCCCACGAACGCATCACCGCTGCCGATGAGGTCCACGATCTTCTCCTTCGGCACCACCGGCACTGCGAACACCGAGGCCTGACGCCGGCGTAGAGCAGGGTCAGCCCCGCCTGGGCCTCGGCAAGGGGGAATATGGTGATTGGAGGGAGGGGGGGGGGGCAAGTGGGTACCTGGCCCTTGCAGGCAACGACGGTGGGTTGAGTACCTCGGGTGACGACCACGATCGACGTGTCGGAGCCGCGGCGGCGAGACAGGATGAGGGCGGCCTCCTCGGGCGTCTGGGCCGGCGCGAGTGCGAGCGCCTCCTTCTCCTTGGCGAAGACGACGTCGGCCAGGGGAAGCAGTCGGAGAATGGCGTCGCGGTGCTTGTTGACCACCGAGATGTTGGAGAGGTTCACCACGACGCACTGTGTGCACGGCCACACCCCAGCCAGGCACGTGCGGGTGAGCCTCCAACACAATTACGATGCGATGCGAGTAGTGGGCGGTGAGAGTGGTACCTTGCCCTGGTCTTTGCTCCGCTGAGCCAGCGCCAGGAGGTGGTCCGCCGCAAAGGCCAGGAACGCGCATTCCAGATAGACATACGACGCGCCATCAATGACCTACACACACTTCGTGAGACTACAAATGAAAGGCGGCCGACCGACTTATCACGCACCTGCTTTGTGTCTTCGGCCAACGAGGCCAAGTCGAAAGTCTCGGAGGCGCCAGCGGTGAATAATTGATGTCTGTTCGGGACGGGCGGAGAGTGGGTCAGTGCGTGTACGAGTACGCGCGCGGGTGGCGGGCGTTGGGGTGTGTGTGAACCGTCGGTCTTCTTTGTCCCCCGCGAGGGTCAACGCCAAGCAGTTGCCCGTTGCGTGGCCGGGCGTGCCAACGTAGCAAAACGCGGCCGCGCTGCCCTCGGCCTCGACCTCTCTCCTACAAAACACGCCGAGAGGGAGTGGTGTAAGTGGGAAGAAGTGTAAGTGGGCCTCGTCATCACGATCGGGGAGCGAACCGAAGCAGTCGGGCAAAGTCATCGTCGCCGACGCTGCCCACAAAGGCGCACCTGTGCTCTGCACCCAGCAGCCACTGGGCATGCGTGCGGTGAAGGGCCATTTCAGGTCAGCCACGACAAAAGAGGGGAGAAACGCTGCAGCGACTGGCACCACCTGAGCGACCCGGATGACGTTCTGGGTGGACCCACCGGCCGAGTACTGGATGCGTGCCCCGCTGTCCACGGCCTCGCGATACCTGGCGTGCAGTGCCCGGCGAATGCACGTGTAAATGAAAGATGCAACGCAGCGATGCGGTTGGGTTTGGTGTGCGTACAGTGCGTGGGCGCGATGGCAGTCGGTGGTGACGCTGAACTGCCCCAGTGCCAAGCCCCGCCTGCAGCAGCCGCGATTAGATGAGTGCAATGAAAGAAATAAATTGGCGAAATAAATGCGTTGGGTTGTATACATACGTGGCCAAGAACTCCTCACTCACTGCCGCCTTGATGTCGAGGATGGGGCACCCGAGGCCCACCAGCACTGGCCTGCTTGCTCGTTCCATGTTGACGCCACGTCAGCAAGGAAACAAAGGAAAAAAGGAAACACAAAGAAATCAGAAGCACCAGAAGAGAGCAAACTTCTCCACCACGAGGGGGGCGTGCACTGATCTGCCAACAAAAGAAGAAGCAGAGAGCAAGGAGCTTCAAGTAGCGATTGGCCTCGCGCAGGCGGTGGATTCGAGGTGATGTCGTGGTACAACAAAATCAAGTCGAATCTGCCGGCGCAGGTAGCGGGTATCAATCTCGAGAATGCACTTCAGGCGGTCGCCTCCCCCGCGGCCAACGCTATGCGCTCCTCCACAGACGGAGGCCCGTCCTCCCAGGGCGGCTCGCCCCCGCCCTTTCCCTCGCTCTCCCCCTCCACGCCCGCCGCAGCTCCAGCCCCAGCCGCGGCTCCCCCGGCAGGCGATAACGTACGCTCTTCTTTTTAAACCACCAACACTGGCACTCGCGCTGATGTATTTCTTGTGTGTGGTGTGGTGTGTGCGGTGTGCACAACACAGACACCGATGAGGATATCTCTGGACTCGGCGTCGAGGGAGGAGCTGGTCAACTTTGTGAAGAGGCAGGCCATCGCCGTCAAGAAGCGCGACGAGAAGATCTCCGGTACAGCTGACCTGTGCCGGGCACTTGTTTCGGGCGGAACCGCTCATGTGTCGTGGTGTGTGTCGTGTATCTGTGTGTTGTGTGTGTTGTGTTGTGTGCAGAGCTGGTCGACGCCTACAAGCGGCTCGCCAAGGAGCGAAACGACTTCAAGGCCAAGATCGAGGAGCGCGACAAGGAGGACGAAGCCATTCTCAACGCCGACGTCGGCCTTGCGCCGCCGCCACCTGAAGACGACGACCGCCCCAATGCCACCGATGCCGCCGAGTCCAACGGCGCCGACGGAAACGACGTCGAGAGCGAGCTCGCCAAGCAGCTGGGCAGCGGCCAAGAGAACAGCGAACAGCAGCAGAGTGGCGATGACGACAAGACCGAGCCCAGTGGCAGCGTAAATGATGCCAGAAGCGGTGACGACGGTGGCACGGTGTACCAGATCGACGAGGAAGAGCGCGAGAAAGAGGCGCGCAGGAAGGAGCTCGAACGCCAGCGTGAGGCGGCCTACCAGGCGCGGCTCCGGGAGCTGGTGCGCGAGGGGCACGTACTGCGGCGGGCGGTGCGCGAGGCGCGGGAGCAGGCCGCGGAGAAGGAGCGCGCGCTTGTCGGGCGCGTGGAGGAGCTCGAGCAGCGGGTGCAGGAGCAGAAGGACCTCTACGACACCCTGCAGACCAAGTCCGGCGAACAGATCGAGCGGCTCGCGACCGAACTCCAACGTAAGTCGCTTTGCCATTCCTGTCTTCTTGACCTACGGCGTCACCAACACACGCACGCACGCACACACACACACGCAACACACACACGCCACACAGGGATGGCCGACAGTGAGGCGCGTGCCAAGGCCGAAATGGAAGCCCGGCACAAGGAAAAGGTGGATGAGTTGGAGGGCGAGCTGGCCAAGCAGAGGGACGCCCAGAAGGAGTTGCTCGAGGCCGGTCAGCGGCGTATCAAGGTAAATCTCGGTTTTGCCGGGGAGGTTTAGCTCCTATTTATTATTATTATTATTATTATTATTATTATTATAATTTATATTCAATCACGCATTGGTTGGGGCCACACAGGAGCTGAACGCTGAACTGGAGGACAGCCACGCTAAGGCGAAGGAGCTGGGCGAGGACCTTCACAAGGCCCAGGAGTCCCTGGCTGGTGCGTTTTACTTGGCTACACACGCACACGTACACCCACACGCGACACACGCAACCCATGAAACATAGTTTGGCTTATGTACCCACGATGCCCTATCATTCCCGATTTTGCCAGAACGAGAGCACCACTTGGTGTCCCTGCAGAAGGACAAGGAAGTGGAGCTTCAGGGCCTGCACGACACGCTCATACTTATGAGGAACGAGGCCCAGGTATCGCTCACATCCCCGTCTGTCCAGTGCGCTTCGTGTGTCGTGTGTGTCGTGCGTGTCGTGTGTGTCGTGTGTGTGTCGTGCGTGTCGTGTGTGTCGTGCGTGTCGTGCGCTGTCGAGTGCAACGTGCTGTGTCGCGGTTCCGATCTTGACACGACTGGCGCTCTGCCTAGGCGATGGGAGTGGAGAGCGCCAAGCTCAAGGACGAAATCGCTAAGTGGCAGCGCGAAGCGGCCGACAGGGCTGCGCTGGCCACCGAGCTGCAGGCCCTCAAGGAGCGCCAAGGCCAGGAAAGCGACGCCAGCGAGCAGACCCGCCAGGCCGACCTCAACTCCATCGCCGACAAGGAGAGCCGAATCCGAGAGCTCGAGGAGGTCGTGGCCCGGCTTTCAAGCGCCGAACACGCCGAACTCGCCGAGCGCCCGCCCACCGATCAGGGGGACAGCGAAGCGGTGGCGGCTGCGCGTGCGAGGATCGCCGAGCTGGAGAGCGAAGTGGAGGCGCTTCGAAGCAACGGGCAGGGTGGCGGCGGAGAGCAGACGAGCGACTGGATCGCCGAGAAGTCGGAGCTGGCGCGCCAGGTCGAGGAGCTGAAGCAGACGCTCGAGGCCGGCCAGCAGCGGACGAGCGACGGGGCGGCGGGAGCGGAGGAAGCAGAAGAGAGCCGACAGAGAGAGCGGGAGGGGCTCGACGAAGAGAGGCGGGCGCTCGATGAGGAGCGCGAGCGGCTGGAGAAGGAGAAGGACGAGACCCACGAGGAGCGCGAGCGGCTGCAGGAGGAGCGCGAACGACTACGCGCCGACCGCGCGGAACTCGACCAGCTCCACTCCCAGGCCCAGGCCCCCACCGACGAGCAGGCGGAGGCGGATACGGAGGAGAAGACCGACGACGCGCATCAGAGCGAAGCGCTGCGCGATGAGACCGAGCGACTGCGTGCGGACCTGCGCCAGCGCGAGGAGGACCTGACGCGCAAGCGGGAGCAGGTCGTGCGGCTCAAGGCCAGGGCCCGCGAGCTGGTCAAAAAGGCCCGCGAGGACCGCGACCGGCTGGAGAAGGCGGTGCACAAGGCCGAGGACGAGCAGGCGCGGCTCGGGGCCGACCGCCAGCAGCTGGGCACCGAGCTGGAGGCGGCCCAGGCGCGGCTGGCCGAGGTCGAGCGCGCGCTGGCCCAAGGCCAGGAGCAGGTTGAGAAGGCGATGGCGCGCGAGCGCGAGGGCTTCAGGAACACGCTCAAGGAGGTCAACGAACGACACGACAAGTCACTGGCCGACAAGGACGACGCCCTGCGCAAGCTGCGCGAAGAGAAAGATGTACGTGTGTGGCCGCATGCGGCTGTGTGTCGTGTGTGTGTGTCGTATGTGTCATGTGTGTCGTGTGTGTGTAGCGCGCCACAGTTCGTTCGCTCACAGGCGAGTTGTGTGTTGTGATGTGGTGTAGGAGCTGATCGGGAAGGTCAACGCAGCGGCAGAGGAAAAGGCGCACACAGACGAGACGCTGAGCAAGCTCCAGGTGCGGCCTATTTATTTATTTATTCGATCTAAACTGTAATTCGCGAACGACGATCGTGAACTTAATCGTTGACCTTCTTCTGGACTGGTCGATGCAGGAGGTGATGATGCAAAAGGACACCCAGTACAAGGCGGTCAAGGACAACGAGAGCAAGCTGCTCAGCCTCATCGAGATGTTCAAGAAGCAGCTCAAGGAGATCGAAAAGAATTCAGAGGACAAGCAAAAGAAGCTGCAGTACGCACACCTCCCAATTCACCGCACACGCACACCCACGCACACGCACACGCACACGCACACGCAATACCGCACGCACGCACGCACTGATATGTGACTGTGTTGTCGCCAGGGAGGAGATCAAGGGGGAGGTGGAGAAGCGGAACAAGCTCAACCAGCGGATCGAGGAGGAGAAGGAGAAGCACAAGAAGGCGGTGGAGGAGATGCAGGGCATGCTCACGGAGCACCGGCTGGGCGAGGAGCAGCTGGGCCACATCAAGAAGCTCATGAAGGAGGCCGACGAACGCCACCGCGACGCTCTGGCGCGGGCCGAGCGCGAGCGGCAGGAGGTGGTCGACGCGCACGAGCGGACCAAGGCCGAGCGCGAGCGCGACAGGGAGGAGCGCGGCAAGCTGCAGGCCAAGATCAAGAAGCTCAAGGACCTGCTCAAGCTGGCCGAGAAGCACCTGGGCGAGACCCGGCAGAAGGTGGCGGCCCGCGAGGAGGAGCTGGCCGGGCTCGGCCTGCAGATGGACGGGCTGCGGCGCGAGCTGGAGGCGGCCGCGCAGCGGGTGGAGGCCGAGCGCGCCGAGACCGAGAAGCGCGTGACGATCGAGGTCAAGGCCAAGGCCCGCGAGGAGTTCCTCCAGCAGCTGCGCAAGGCCGCGCAGGTCTACAAGGAGAAGATGAAAGAATTGGTACCGCACACACCGCACACACACCGCACACACCGCGCACACCGCTTACGGAAGGCGAATGGTAGCAAGGGCAACTGGCGCAGGTCACGCAGGAGCTGGAGGACACCAAGGCCGAGTTCAGGTCCTACAAGCTGCGTGCCCAGTCGGCCATCGCCTCTGCGGGTCCCGCCGGCGGTGCGCTCCTCGCCACACACGACACACGACACGACACACAAGCCGTGTCGGTCGTGATTTTGATGAACCACGTGCGACAGACTCGCCAAGCACCGAGCGGAGCCAGGCGGCGAGCGGCGGCGAAGGCCCAACGGAGGACGAGGCGCACAGCGAGGCGCCGCAGGCCCTGTCGAGCATTGTTTCGCTGCAGGAGGAGGTGACGCAGCTGAGGAAGGAGGCGGAGCGGCTGCAGGCCGAGAACGAGGAGCTGCGACACTACGAGGCCACCGCCGACGCGCTGCAGACCGAGCTCACCGAACTCCAGCACCGACACCAGAACGAGGTCCAGGAGTTCGAGAACGTCAGGTGAGTCTGACCGCGCCCGCACACACGACACACGCCGCACGCGCCGCACTCACACGACACACATCGCACACGCCGCACGCAGAGCGGACATGCGAAAGAGGAATCAGGAGTGGGAGGAGCGGCTGGCCGAGCGCGAGGCCGAACACCGGCGGCTCGTTGAGGAGAATCGCCACAACGTGCTCCAGGCGCGAAGAGAGAACGCCGACAAGCTCAAGGAACTCGAGCAGCGCCTGCAAACCGAACAGGAGAGGTTAGTCTCGTAGGCCGTCCGTCATATGCCCCTTGCGCCCAACCTCACAGTGTGTCGTGTGTGTGTGTTGTGTGTGTGTCGTGTGTCACCAGCACGCAAGCTGCGCTGAAGGAGCGGGAAGAGCGCGAAGCGCAGTTGGTCAAGGAGATCAAGATTTTGGAGCAGCGTATCAGGCTGCTCAACGGCATGACCGGAGCCAAGCCCACCTACGCCTCATTGTCGTCATCATCGTCGTCGGTCGCTCCGCACTCGGCGTCGCCGTCGCCCTCGGTCTCGCGTTCGACGTCGTCGGTCTCGCTCGCTGACCTGGACATGTCGGCCGCCGCCGCTGCGCCCAACAAGCCCAGGGAAGACGAGCGCGGGCTCACCAACAACGTCCTCTACAACCAGATGAAGGCCGCGCATCGAGAGGTAAGCCCAAGTGCGGTGCTGGCGCCAATTCGTGCCCATTTGTGACGCATTGTGTGTGTGTGTGTGTGTGTTGTTGTTGTTGTTGTTTAGGAGCTGCATCGATTGAAGTTGGAACTGGAGGACCTGAGGTCGGCCTTGGCCGACGCCGAGCGCACCACGAAGCTGCACCTCATGCAGGAGCAGGTCCTCAAGGAGGAGATTCGCGAGTTCGAGCGCGCACAGAAACGAGAAGGCTCCAACATCGGGTACTCTCTCTCGCTCGCGCACACACACACACCACACACACGACCTTCCCATTTGGTGTTCAATGTAAAACATGATAGTTTTGCTGACGTGGCGTGATGTGACTTGTTTGTGTGTGCCCCGGGGACTGAAGGTATCTGAAGAACATCATCGTGAAGTACATGGAGACGGGGGAGCACGATGCGCTCCTCCCGGTGATATCGACCGTGCTGCAGTTCACGCCCGAGGAAATCGAGCGAATCAACCAACGACGCAAGGCCAACTCCTTCTGGGGCTCGGTACCCTTTTTCTCTCTTTTTTTTCCTGTGTTTCTTCCTCCCACCACACCTGACCTGTGTCGTGTGTGTCGTGTCGTGTCGTGTCGTGTGCGGTGATGTGTGCAGGTGTGGGGCAAATGATCACTGTGTGGTGCAAGCCAAATACAAATATTTCCCCCCCCCTCTCATGTACATATAACCTGGGCCTCGGAGTAGTGGTTGAGGGCCTGGGTCCAGGCCTGCAGCTCCTCGTAGGTGTAGGCCCCGCTCTTGATGCGGCTCGCGCGCTCCTGCAGGAACTCGTTGACGGTGATCCGCTGGACGGCGCGCGAGCTCCGCTGCGAGTAGAGGCCCTCGAGCCGCTCCTTCTCCTTCTTCATCTGCTGCGTGCCGCCCGCCGCCGTCGCGCTGCGCCCGAGCGACGGCGACGCCGGCATGCCCATCCGCTGCCATCGCTCGTTGATGCGCTTCTGCTTGGCCTTGCGCTCTTTGCGCTCGAGCTGCTCCTGCTTCCTCTCCTTCTTCGACTTCTTGGCCGCGGCCAAGGCCGCCGCGGCGCCGCTGGGCGATGTCGACGTGGTCTCCTCGGCGCGCTTGGTCCACTCCTCGTTGATCTTCTTGACGTTGGTCGCCCGCCTCTTCTTCTCCATGTTGCTGGCCCAGTCCTTGGGCTCCTCCTCCTTCTCTTTCTCCTTCTCCTTCTCCTTCACCTTGTCTTTGCTCTTCTTTTCTTTCTTGCTCTTCTCTGCTGTGTGTTGTGTGTATGTGTGTGAGTCAGCAACAGCGCACGCACACGCACACGCGCGGGCAGGGAAGACCTTTGGTGGCGGGCGGCGGGGAGTCGCTGGGCTTCTCGGCGATCTCGACGTGCTTGTCGGGGAAGAAGAAGTCGCAGTCCTGGATGAGGACGGACATGAGGCGGATGACGTGGCTCACGTCGGTGATGATGACCCCGACCGAGTCGTTGCGCGAACCGAGCAGGATGGGGCCGAACACGATCGCGAGGTTGTTGCAGTCCATCTTGTTGGCGGCCTTGTGCTGCACCACGAACTGCAGGTGGCTCATCAGCACCGTGAGCACCTTGAAGTTGGNGCGCGGCAGCAT